ATGATACATGATAGGATGAATGTAAAGCTAATGTTCTCCCATGTAAACTATCACGTAATCCACAACAAAACAAAACAAAACAAAAGACTGCTGCTGCTGCATACCTTAAATTCAGTTTCAACTCACAGCAACCTTGTATAGGGTTTCCAACTGTAAATCTTTATGGGAGCAGAAAGCCTCATCATTCTATCATGGGGCAGATGGTGGATTCAAACTGCTGACCTCATGATTAACAGCCCAATGTATAATCCATTACAAAGGCCCCTTAATAAAAAGAATAACTAATCATTAATTTTCACTCAGTCTTTTCAAAGACTAACATGCAACTTAAGTCATATGAAATAATTTGTTATCCCAATGGGTAGCAGTTTAGAAAACATGGTTGTTGTTGCTGTTGTCAAGTGCCATTGATTTGGTTCCTACCCACAGTGATCCTGGATAGTATTTCTGAGGAGTGGCAGCTGGGTTTGAACCACCAACCTTGGGGTTATCAGTCTAGTGCTTATCCTACAACACCACATCAGGACTCCCAAAAACTTGATTGAATACATGCAAAAAAATATATTTGTCATATGTGATTTCTACCTTCAATGAGCTTGCAATTATGGCAAAATATAACTTGCATCAATAAAATAGTGTTTTAAAATCATTATTATTCACCTGTGTCTGGCATTTTAACTGTATAGACCTACCCTCAAGTTGCTAGCTTAGTAGGGAGAGGCAAACACATAGAAAAAGTGTGCACACTCCTTGCTCTTTTACCTCATTCTGCAATGCCTTATTGGAAAAACTCAGTTAAAAGACAGAACCCAAGGAAGTCTATTGCTTTAGTCTATTTAGATTAGCATTCCAGGCAGAGAGCAAGGCTGAAGAGTGCATGTCACAGGGGCAAAAGGAGGGAAAATAAGCAATGTGTGTGCATGAAGGAATAAAGTAAGATAAGTGCAATAACTGGTATTTATTATTTTTAGCATAGGAAAAATGAGACTGGGGAAGAGTAGTTCAGACCATCAATTATTTTTCCTTGTAAATAGCAAGGAATTTTGGTGTTATTTTTCAAGAACAGAGTAGAGAAATGGGAGAAGCTATAGTCCTTCAATCAGTAAGGTTGAACTCTACTAACTGAACCAAGATACTTATTTTAATTGGTGATCAAGGGAGCAGAAAATTTGAACTTAGCATACATTCTCTATAACCAAAGCGAATGTGTCAATGACATGTCCTTGCTATTTTCTTGCAGAATTGCAGCTGAAAAACAACGTCCTCTGGCTTTGGGCATTGCTTTTATGATTATGAGGATATTTGGTATGGATTTTTGGCAATCTTTCATTACATAAAGTTTTTTTTTTTTTTTTTTAATATGTATGTATCTGCATAAATGTTTAGTAATCCAAATACATATTAATGATAAAATGACAAAACAAGTAAATGGGAGAATTGCTTGGCACAATTTTAGAGATAATAATTAATGTAAAGAGAAAATATCTACTTTATGTAAAACCCATCCTAGTTGTCTTTCAAAGTAGACATTACTAATAAATTTGATTAGAAGAGACTATTTAATAAGAAGTGTATTAATTAACCTTGTACATGGATTTTTGTTCAGTTTTTACAAAGCCCTTTTATGAGCATTTCAACTATATTTTACATTGATAGTATGTATGGAAAGCCACTAAATTTTTTTTTTCTTATTATCAATAACATGAAATCTAATGTTTCTAAGGATTTGTAAGCATAGAACATACTGTTTATGCTCTGTCCACTACATATCTGTCAATGTGTTGTACTGTGGTGACATATATATAGTAGCTAAACTAAAAGCTCAACAACAAAACAGCCCCTGTCAATATTGACTAATAGCAACCGTAAAGTACAGAATAGAACTGCCCCATAAGGTTTCTGAGGCTGTAATCATTATGGGAACAGACTGCCTCATCTTTCTCCCACAGGGAAGCTGGTGGGTTCTAACTACTGACCTTTTAGTTATTGGCCCAATGCTTTACTCTCTGTACCATCAGGACTTCTTATCATGGAAGCTATGCCTCTGAAACTTCAAATAATAACAGGGTCACCCATAGTGGGCATCAACAGAGCTTCCAGATTAAGAAGGACTGGAAAGAAAGCTTAGTGATCTACTTCCAAACAACTGACAAGTGAAAACCTTAAGAATAGCAGCTGAACCTTGCCTGATATAGTTCCAGAAGATGAGCTCGAATGTTGGAAGGCACTCGAAAATGCAATTGAAGAAGAACTACCTCAACAAATTACAGTTGACTTTATTTACATGGAATGAGTAAAATTTCAAGACCTCATTTACTGATGTGGCATGACTCAAACTGAGAAGAAGCAGTTGTAAACATCCATTAGTAATTGGAATGCAAAATGTGCAAAATATGAATATAGGAAAATTTGTAGTCATCAAATATGAATTGGAGCACATAAAGATCAATATTGTAGGCATTGCTGCTGCTGTCATGTTCCATGAAGAGGGTTTTGATTCAAACCAACCTGTATAGGGTTTCCAAGGCTGTCAGTCTTTATGGGAGCAGAAAGCCTCATCTTCCTCCCAAAGAGAAGCTGATGAATTCAAACAGCCAGTCTTGTGGTTAGCAGGCCAACATGAACCCCATGCTACCAGGTATCCTTCTCCTAGGCATTAGTGAACTGAAGTGGACTAGTATTGGCTGTTTTGAATCAGATAGTCACAATGGCCTACTGTGCAATAAAGAAGATCATAGAAGAATGGATGCATTTGAGTTGTGGCATTGGAGGAGAATATTGAAAGTTCCATGGGCTTCTAAAAGAACAAAGAAATCTATGCTGGAAGAAGTGCAGCCAGAGTGTTCCTTGGAGGCCAGGAGGGCCAAACTTCATCTCTCATACTTCGGACATGTTGTCAGGAGGGACCAGTCACTGGAGAAAGATACCATGTTTAGTAAGGTGAAGGGTCAGAGAAAAAGAGGAAGACCTCCAACAAGATGGATTTGCAAAGTGGCAGCATCAATGGACTCAAGCATGGCAACAATTGTGAGGTTGGCCTAGGACTGGGCAATGTATCATTCTGTTGTGCACAAGGCTGCTATGAGTCGGTACTCACTCGATGGCACCTAACAACAACAACAATAGCACTATGTTAGAAATGACAAAGTGAGTAATAACAGCATCACATTCCTCATCATAAAGAACATTTAAACATTCATCCTTAACACAATTCTGTAAGCAATAGGATATTATATATGCCCTTTCAAGGAAGACTAGTTTGTAAGTCTGTTATTCAAATTAACGCATCCACCACTAATGCCAAAGATGAACAAATTAAAGATTTTTACCAACTTCTGCAGTCTGAAATTAATTAAGTGTGGAATCAAGATGCATTGATAATTGAAATGCAGATGTTTGATACGAAGAAGAAGGTATGGCATTTGGAAAACATGGTCTTATTGATAGAAACTATGTGATAGAAGTGACATCCATTATAGAATTTTGTAATGCCAGTGATTTATTCATTGCAAATGCATTTTTTCAACAACATATATGGCGATTATATGCATGGACAAAATTAATGGAATACACAGGAGTAAAATCAGCTGCCATCTGTGGAAGACATAATGGATCAATATCATCATTCAGAAGTACTGAATGTGCATGTTCAAATTGAATCAAGTCCCTGAGGGCCAAAGCATGACCCTTGAGTATATCCTACCTGAATTTTGAGACCATCTCAAAGATAGGTTGGATGTATTGTACACTGAATGACCAAAGAGCAGATAAGTTGTGTAATGATATCAAGTTCTAGGAGATACCTTCTTTAAGTGAAGAAAAAGTTCATTTAAAAGACAGTAACGAAAGAAAAGACAAAAATGGATGTTAGAATAGATTCTGAAACTTGCTCTTGAATGTAGTAGTTAAAGCTAAAGGAAGAAATAATGAAGTGGCATAACTAAATGGAAGATTGAACAGTAAAGCTTAAGAAGATAAAGTATAATAAGATGTGCAAAGGCATGAAGCTAGTAAACAAAAAGGGGACGATATGCTTAACATTAGTCAAGCTGAAAGAACTGAAGAAAAAACTCAAGCCACAAGTTGCAATTTCATTTCTGTGGGCAAAATATTAAATGATGCCGTAGGCTTCAAAGGGAGATGGAAGGAATACCCAGTCACTCTACCAAAAGAAATTGGTTCATATTCAACCATTTCGGGAAGCAGCTTATCATTAAGAATCAATGACAGTAAGAGAAGTACAAGCTGCCTATAAGGTATTGGCAATGAACAAAGCTCCAGAAATTGATGGAATATGAATTGAAATGTTTCAACAAGCAGATGCAATGCTTGGAAGCATTCATTCATCTGTGCCAAGAAATTTGAAAGATATTTTCTAGGCAAATCAACAGGAAGGGTTTCATACATGTGTCCATTCCAAAGAAGGGTGATCCAACAGAATGTGGAAATCATCAAACAATATCATTAATAATGCATGTAACAGTTTTCTGAAGATAATGTAAACATTATTGCAGCAGTTAATTGACAGGGACCTTCCAGAAATTTAAAACAATTTCAGAAAGGGATATGGAATAATAACACTGCTGATGATCTTTGCTGAAAGATATACCAAGTAGATATTTGCCTATATTTTACTAACTATGCAAAGGCATTTGACAGTGTGAATCATAACAAATTATAGATAACATTGGACAGAATGGAAAATCCAGAACACTTAAATGTGCTCATGTGGAAACTGAACATAGATCAAAATGGAGTCATTCAAACAGAACAAGGTGATACTGTATGGTTTCAAATCATGAAGTATGCACATCAGGGTTGTATCATTTCACCACACTTATTCATCACACTTCTTCAATCTGAAATTGATAAAATATTCAATCAAGAATATTGATCATGACTGGTGATTGGAATGCAAAGGTTGGGAGCAAAGAGGAAGGATCAGTAGATGGAAAATATGGCCTTGGTGATAGAAGTGATGCTGGAGAACGTATGATAGAATTCTGAAAAACCAATGATTTGTTCATTTCAAATGCCTTCTTTAGACAGCATAAGAGACGACTTTACACATGGACCTTGCCAGATGGAATACATAGAAATCAAATTGACTACATTGGTGGAAAGAGAAGATG